GACTCTCTTCCTCTATGCCAATGGGAAGGAGTAACATGCGGTCGACGACACCAAAGAGTCACAACCTTGGATCTATCGGATAAGGGTTTGGTTGGTTCTTTATCTCCTTATCTAGGCAACTTGAGCTTCCTCAGGTACATGCTCTTTAGTAACAACCAACTTCATGGAAATATCCCTCCTGAAATAGGTCATTTATCTCGATTGCGAGGGCTATCCCTTACCAATAATTCATTCACAGGAGAAATCCCGGTCAACATATCAAGTTGCTCAAAACTATGGTTTCTTGACTTATCTACCAATACGCTATCCGGGAAAATTCCAAATATTTTTAGTTCTACGTTGATGATCAAAGTGTTATTCATGTCCAACAATAACTTGACAGGTGGGRTTCCACCATCCATCGGCAATCTCACTTCCCTCGAACAACTCGATCTTAGTGTTTGTCCGTTGGGAGGAAGCATTCCAGTTTTCTTCAATGGTCTGAACAACTTGCAACTATTAGGCCTTGGAGGAAGTGGCCTTGTTGGATCCTTTCCATTGTTCCTATTTAACCTTTCCAAGTTAGAACATCTATACTTTCCCAATAATCAACTTCTTGGCCGTTTACCCTCGAACTTGTGTTCAAGTCAGCCACATCTCCAGACACTAGAATTTGAGTTCAATCACTTCGGTGGAATCCTTCCACCCTGGATATCAAATTGTTCAGAGTTGGAAACGTTGGATGTTTCTAATAACGATTTCGAGGGGGAAATAGATATTGATTTTGGAAAACTCCGATATCTTAGTTGGTTATCGATTGGTCTAAATAGTTTTGAAACCGGGCGTCTAGGTGGCATGAAGTATTTTGATTCTTTGTCCAATTGCAGCAATTTGGAATTAATGCAAATTGGGGCAGTCAAATTAAGAAGGGAGCTACCGAATTCTTTTGGGAACTTAACCAAGCTGAATACTCTAAGACTTCAATCAAGCTATATCTCAGGCARCCTCCCTTCATCCATAGGCAATTTSGTTAGCCTAACTGGACTTTATCTAGTGGGTAATAACTTCACAGGTATGATTCCTGAAAGCATTGGCAAGCTTGGAAGCTTGGAAGAACTGCAACTAGAAACTAACAGTTTCTCTGGAATCATTCCTCCGTCTATTGGAAACCTGTCATCTTTAATCAAAGTGTATTTAGGTAGAAACAAATTGGAAGGCACTATACCCTCGACTATTGGGAACTGCAAAAAGTTGCTATTTGTATCAATTTACGAAAATAGCCTTGAAGGGAGTGTACCCAAAGAACTATTCCAACTCTCTTCACTTTCAATCATACTAGATCTGGGTTCAAACAATTTGTYTGGAGTGCTTCCACAAGAGATAGGCAACCTGAAAAACTTAGGGTCACTTGATTTGTCTGATAATTATTTATTGGGTGAACTTCCAAGTGCARTTAGCAGTTGCATCAGCCTTGAAATCTTAGAAATTTCAGGCAATTTATTTCATKGATCAATGCCAGTATCATTGAGTTCTTTGAGAGGCCTCCAATATGTTGATGTGTCAGGAAATAACTTTTCTGGACATATTCCAACATATTTGCAAGAAATTCCTTTGAAGCAGCTTGATCTTTCAGGTAATAATTTTGAAGGAGAAGTGTCTGTTAAAGGTGTCTTTGCCAACACAAGTGCWATTTCAGTCATTGGGAACCCTAGACTTTGTGGGGGAATACCTGAGCTTCACCTACCAATATGCAGAACTAATGACTCCAAAAGAAGTAGAAAGCTCTCTCTTCGTGTTGTTCTGGCGATTTCACTATCATCCACTGTTGCAGGTCTGGCTCTGGTGTCATTCGTCTTGTTCTATTGTTGTAAAAAGAAGAGASATAAACCATCAGAATCAACATTGACTGAATCTKTTGAGAAGATTTCATATGCAAGGCTTTTCAAAGCGACCGAAGAGTTCTCTGCAGCAAATCTGATCGGTACAGGAGGTTTTGCTTCGGTTTATAAAGGAGTTCTTGATGAAAATGGTTTGACAGTGGCTATCAAAGTACTAAACCTCCAAAGCCGAGGAGGTTCCAGGAGTTTCATGGCTGAATGCGAAGCCTTGAGAAATATTCGTCATCGCAATCTGGTGAAGGTTATCACTTCTTGCTCGAGTCTCGATTTCCAAGGAAATGATTTCAAGGCCTTAGTGTACGATTTCATGCCAAATGGGAGTCTTGAGACTTGGTTGCACACAAGCACGACACTAGACCATTTGCCTCATGATCAGTTGCATCAACTTGATCTTGWTCAAAGAATAAGCATTGCCAAAGATGTGGCTTGTGCTCTTGATTATCTACATTATCATTGTGGAAATGTTGTCGTTCATCGTGATTTGAAGCCAAGCAACATTTTATTGGATGCTGACATGGTTGCTCATGTTGGAGATTTCGGGCTCGCAAAAATCCTTTACCTTGACGAACTTTCTGATGCAAACAATGGTAGCTCAAGTCATGTCAGAGGAACCATTGGATATGCACCTCCAGGTAAATTGTTGATAACTAGTCCAATGACTCCAATTGATTGTTTTTTATGTTATAATCTCTATTTTACTACATGAATAATTCTATGTAAGTTGCAGAATACGGACTCGGAAATGAAGTCTCGACCAGTGGAGACATATATAGCTACGGGATACTATTGTTAGAGATGTTGACAGGGAAAAAACCCATTGATCCAATGTTCGTTGAAGGCCTTAGCCTGCATTCCTATGCTACAAGTGCCTTGGCTGGTGGTTTTGTGCTTCAGATTGTGGATCCAATTCTTCTACGTGATGAAGTCAAAGAAAGGTGTTTGATTTCATTAGTGGAAATTGGAGTGAGATGCTCTTCTGAGTCTCCAAAAGATCGAATGGATATTGGTACCGTTATCCATGAGCTCTTCTCAAACCTCCACCCATAAAKRTAAAGCTATAAATGTGTCTGAATCTAAATAAATGTTTGTTTCTTATCTCTAAGATGATATGTGGTAGACTGATGGTAGCATGTATTGAATAAACAAAAAATAGTAATCATATATTATATTTTCAGACACATTTATAGCTTTATCTATTCAAGGGGAAGACAGGCCAATATACCTAAACACTTTGTAGCATTTTATGTTCTGCAATACCTATACCTTGGTGATATCTGCTGGCATTCTCAAATTAACTTTGGTAGGAATAGAATTTCCATAAGAAGATCCTAGTGCCCCTAAAGCATCTAGAAAGAGCCTTTTATTGGGGACAATGCCATCTCTATCAATATGCTTCATCAGTTTCTGTAACAGCTCCTTCATGTTTGCTTTTGTGTAGGATTTATACAGAAGTTCATATGTTGAAGGTATCTACACGAAACATTTTGACTATTACGAGCAGTCTSAAACAGCCTATCTGCTTCCATTCATTCAAGCAGTAGAAATTGAGCATGGCATTTAAACATTAACATACAAATTAAACAAAATGTATTTCCAAATTCGACTTCCATGAAAAATGGCTAACCTCAAGACATTGAAGCCACTTATCAGACCTGCCAAGCTACTCGAACAGAAGAAAATAGTGCTCCGCCCTCACTAACTTKACGTACTTGTTAAGTGTCGACAGCAACGGSTTTTCGTAGTTTAAGTTCTTCAAGAGTGTCCGTACCAATTCTTGAGCCTCTGCACTCAGACTTGGAATTTCCCTTGGATCAAATCGTTGAACCAGAGATAATTGTGTGTCTGGTGGGTTTCTTACGAGGATATTGACGACAAAAGTTGAAATTTAGGGACGAATGCGGGTGAATTTCATGTGTTGTGGGAATTGAAGGGAAATAAAGAGATCCACCATAGAAATTTGCTAACATTTTTCATAGTTAGGAGTTAGGTATGAATTGGTGGCCGAGGATGTTGACGATCTTAAAGAAAAGAGTTTATTGCAAAGAAGGCCTAATAGTTTTAGGTCTTATAGTTTTGTCCCATTTTCATTCAGGATATTCTCAAGGCAATATCGTTCTAGTCTTTATAGGTAGCATTTGGTACACAGACTGGATAGAAAAGGAATAGATAGCATTTGGTATGCAGATTGGATAGAAAAGGACTATATATGACTAAATTGATTGTCTTACGTTTGATACAACTAAAATAGGATTGGGCTAATTGTCTGTCATGCGTTTGGTAAACTGGAGATGATAGAACAAAATTGTTAAAATGACCAGATTGTCTCTAAATGTTATTTTACATCATGCAATGATTGTAAATAACACAAATCAACCAAAATATATTTAGATAATTACATTTATGTATTTATGCTAGTGTCTAAATTTGTATACATGATTGTAACACAACAATTGTAAAAAACGTACATAATTTAAAAATATTCTAACACAACAATTGCAAGTACCAAAAGACCTTTGGCTTAACGGTATCGTAGTCTTTGGCCTCCTAAAAGATCAGGGGTTCGAACTTCACCAAAGGTGAGAAGGGTGTGCTAGTTTATTTGTTACATTTGTCGTATATAAATATTATATACTTAAAAAAACAATTGTAAATACGTACATAATTTTAAAAAAAATCAACACAACAATTGTAAATAACACTTGTCATAGGATCATCAAAAGTTTAAACATTTGAAGACAAAAATTGTCTTCATAAACATGTCAAGTGTACCAAAATTAATCTAAACATTCCAAAGTATTCCTTTTGTTTTAACCATATTCTAAGACTACCACTTGTTCTCATCATAAATTAATTTCACAAATTCTAATTTCATATAATCATTTTACTCTTCCAAAAACGATATTGGAATGGTTTGTCACTAAAGTACTTACCCATTCGAATGATTTCCATGACACCAAGTCCAAGTCGTTTCAACTCATCGCTTAAGCCATCCATTTCCGTTGTAGAATCCGATATAACTGAAGCCAGCCCTTTCATTTGATTGGTTGCTTCATGGATTCCATTCTTTATTTTCTCCAGTAGCTTGGATATCTCGTTTGTCCTTTTTCTTTTTTTACTTGTTCCTTCTTCTTTATTTGGAATGGAGGAATGAGAAGTTGTATTGAAAGGACTTGGAATGGGAGGAACATTTCTATCATCATCATTTTCCATGCTCATATTTTCAAAAACATTTCTATCAACTCGCAACTCATTTATATAGCTTACGTCACTTTCTCGAGTAATACGTTGTATTTTTGTTGATCTAATTTGACGTYTAGTGAAAGTCCTTTGACCCAAAGTTTCTCTTTTACTATTCCTATTCTCCAATTCAATTAACCAAATTGTAAGGGAAAACAAACACACGAGCATTTGAATGTAAACATTCAATATGCTAACGACTGCAACCAAGTGATTCCGGTCCATCACTACAAAATCCACAAAACAAAGTAACAAACAATGGTCAAAATTCACAATAACATAATATATTCAAAGGATGATGAAAATATAAAACATAAAAACACAATAGAATGAAATCAAAAAAACAAACACTATTAGATGATCAACCTTTCTCCATTCTTAGTTCTTGTGTTTTGTGGATCTCATCTTGATTTCCACTTTAATCAATAAAACTGAGCGCACAAAATAGACACCTAATGCTATGTAAGGGGCCGTTTACCAAACATTTACCCGGTAAGCATTTACCAGGAAAATTCAATACTATAATTTATTACCGGGTAAGATTTTAGTCAACAAAACAGCTTTCTATGCAACAATTTACCTGGTAAGAGCTGACTGTGGTAAGAGTCATTGTCCTCACTTACCGGGTAAGATTTTTGGTCCTTATCATATTCATCCGGTAAGGTAATATAACTTGGTAAGCGCTTATCCAAGTAAGCATTTGGTAAACGGCCCCTAAATGGTACCCATAAAATAGACATAAACCACTAAAACAGATTGGACCTTAGCATTTTCATAACCAAGTAATCAAAATTAACATGAATTTATGTCATTCTTAAATCATACTTTAGTGAGAGATCCATTATTTGGCCGATTGTGAGAATATGACAGAATATGTGTTTATTTGCAAAATGGAATCAAAAGAAAAGAATTAGATAAAGTATCCACCTGAAGAATTTTCAATTTTCCAAAGGAGCAACAGCAGTTAATGATCTGCAGCATAACGCAACCATATAAACAAACAGTAGAGAAAAATGTAGACATTTTAAACGGGTCCAACAAGAAAAATTCCAAGACAACAACCTACTCCTTTCAAAGTACGTTAACTGGTAATTGCACCCTGTCAAATTTTAGAAGTTATACACACAAAAGAATTCAATTCAAGTGAAGATGGAGGGGATAACCATGGAAAAAGAGAAGCAAAATCTGGCTCCTCCTTTTGTCGGTTCAGATTGTGGAATCGATAACCATGGAAATGAAGATGGAGGAGAAATCAATAACAATGGAAGATTGAGGAGAAATCAATAACCATGGAAGATTAAGGAGAAATCGTACTTGAAATGGAGGGTGGAATCGAGTTTGAGCTCGTGGAATGGAGGGTTTCGAGTTCTACAATGGAGGCTTGAGTCGTCACCGTCACTTACCAGGTAAGACTCTCAGTCCTTACCTTCGCTCTTACCGGGTAAGATTCTTGGTCCTTGCCATATTGATTTGGTAAGGTAATGTAACTTGGTAAGCATTTACCCGGATAAGCATTTGGTAAACCGCACCTAAATAGTTTATTAGTACTAAAATGGTGAAATTAAGTATCCTATAGTGGATGTCGTTGCTAACAAACAATCCTCAATAAAACATCAAGATTAGCAATTCATGCCATGCCATGCCATATATAAGTAAAAGCTTCAAATTAAATATTATCATGGTTCCACACGAGTATTCTCAACAAAAACCAAATACCAAGTGATGGCAGTGCATTTTATGGCCTAAACAGAGATTGCAATACGACTCTACAATGAAGATACCTTTACGCTAGTCTATGGTGCCTTTCCAGCCACCAACATCAACCAGACCAACAACAAAAACAGATGGGGAGAATTTAACTCCCCCCTCTCAAACTCTTATGTTCTACAAAAAAGCTAATGCCACACTTCCTTTCACTGCTAGATTAAAGTAAAAGAAGGCCTATTACACACTAGAGCATTTAATTAAACACTTGGTGCTCAAGTTAAACCAACAAAAAACATGAAGGAAATCGAAGGCCCAGTCAAAGAAATCCAAAGCATCACACCTGGTGTTCATACAAAAAACACACAAAGAAACAGAAGATGGACATACCAGAAGTCTATGGCAGAGAGTGAGAGAGACGATATCGTGAATCCGTGAGACTGAAGTCCAGGGAAAGCGTGAGAATGAAATTTGAAGCGGTAATTTTTTCCCACTAATGGCAGACGGGCAGATGATGCGATGCCCTTCCCAGTTCCCATTGAAGATTGAAGAATTGGGGGGAATATTTTTAATTTAAAAATAAAATGTTAACAGTCTATCTAATCACATGTGAGGCTTTTTTTTTTCTCATTCGACAGCATTTCCAAAACTCTAATAAGTCTCTTTATCTATAAACCTAATAAATAAGTAACTTAAGTTACACGTGTTATTTTCTGGTGAGTCGGTTATCTTATTTTCTTACTTAAACATGTATCTAGACACAATTTACATTAACGATTCAATTAGACTCATTTGAACGTATCTAGACACAATTTACATTAACAGTTCACTTATATTCATTTGATTGACATGTATCATCTTATTCAATCAATCCTACTAATCTAGGATGCAATTGATTTTATTCTTTGGGTAATTAATTTGTGTGGTAACTGATTCCCGAAAAAATAATGTTTACTTCTAAGTTTAAATTCAATTTACTGATATAGTTTCATTTCTAAATTCAACTTTATTTTAGGGTTAACTTCATTTTATTCTAAATTCAATTTACTGAAAAGTTTTACCTTAGAGTTATTTCAAGAGAACAAGTCTGAAGTCATTCTTCAGAGTTAGTTCACCCGAACTCTGGAGTCTGAACTCTGAAATCTTCTTTTTCAGACCTAGAAGTCTGAACTCTGAAATATTTTTTTAGACTTAGAAAAAGAAGATTTCAATCTTCT